CTTTGTAACTAAAAACTTGTCTACAGGAGCTGGAGAGATGGCTCAGCGGTTAAGAACACTGAGTGTTCTTTCAGAGGTCCTGAGTTCAATTCCTGGCAACCACATGGTGGCTCACAACCACCTTGAATGAGATCTGGTGCCCTCCACTGGCATGCAGGCAGAGGACTGCATACACAATAATAAAATAATAATAATAATAAAAGAAAACTTGTCTACAGACATTTGGGACACAAAAATAACCTGCCCTTCTCATTCTTTTTTCACCAACTATAATGTCCATCCAGGTGTCTGGATCTGTCTACTATGAGAGGCTTGTGGGGCCTCTCCTTGCTGCTAGGCTATGACCAGGACTTCTGAGTAACTGAAATGAGGTCTCGTATATCTCAGGCTGGTCTCAAGCTGGCTATGTAGCTGAGGAGAACCTTGAACTGCTGACCTGCCTGCATCTACTTCTTGAGTGTTAAGATTACAGTTATGCAACACACAGTTTATGCAGTGCTAAAGATCAAGTCCAGGTTTCATGCATGCTGGACAAACTTGTCAACTGAGTTCAGTTTCCAGCCCACCTAAAATTTTTGTGGGTACTTCTGAGCTTCCTTGGCATGTGGTTACAAGGCCCAGGGTCTGTGCCCTTGTATGATTTCCAGAGCTCTCTGAGGACTCAGGGTCCCACCCAGGGTGGGAAAGTTTGTCTTAGTTTGCTCTAATTACAAAATACAAGAGACCAGATGCTTTATGGATAGAGGTTCATTTGGCTTATCTGGAGGCTGTGAATCCAAGAACACAGTCAGCATCTGGTTGTGGGCCTTTTTTTCAAAACAGCATGGTACCAGGTATCACAAGTGTGATAGCAAGTGTGTTAGCTCAGTTCTACTACTAAAGCAACTAATGCCACCATGGGAGCCACCCTCCTGATTTCATCTAATTCTTACCACTCATGAGTCCCACTTCACAAATTGTGGATATAGTCAATCAACACCAGAATTTACTTGCCACAGGCTGTCTGTGGTGTATAGTCTCTGGAAAGAGGGGCTGGATGTCTCCCTACCATCCTTTCCATATAGTCTCAGCACCCATGGATGGGCATCACTGTTTCAAGGCTTACACCTTGAAATATTATTGCCAGTTCAGGGGGAGAGAGGCATCAGAACATAGGCTCAAGTCTGGGCACAGTGGCCTCTACAGGGGAGTATCTCCCTGATAAGTAGGTTCTGGCTTTCTAGGGACTCCCTCTTCAACTCCTCATCAGCTGAAGGTCAGGACTTTCTGGGTTGCTGCTGACCTGTGGAGGGGATGATGTTCTTACTAATCTGCTGTGGCCCAGAGTCCAGTGAATGGCCACACCTGGGATATATAGACATATACATCCTGAAAAATAGGTGCAGGTAATAACTTCCAGGATCCTTTGGAAGATAGTCCCGCTGGAAGGCCTCAGTGTGGTTCTGCATTCCTGGACCCAGGAGTCTCCACCCTTCATACTCTGACCAAGAGAGTATCAGGAAAGTCTGTCCCTGAAGGCAGGCAAGGAGAGCTCTGTTGCTATTTCCCTGGCATCACCCCCTCACAGAAGCTTCCCTGAATATTGTGTCAAACTAAGTGGCAGTGTCCACAGGGTCAAGATGCTCATAAAGGCCATGTCTTCAACTTTGCAGGGAGATAGTCACTCAGTGTGTGCCTTGAATGAAGGGTACCTGCTGCTGGAGGCAAGGCCTAGGACCTGCAATTCCTTGGGGAAAAGAGGAAAATCCTCTTTTTGTGTTTGTCTGTATATGTTTGTGATAGGGCCTCAGTACACTTTGGGGGGCTGAAGCAGGAGGACTGTCTCAAGTTCAAGGCCTGGCCTACAGAGGCCTGGCTGGCATGCGTGCGTGCGTGCACACAGTGTATATAAGATTTAATTATTTTGTGGAGACCTTCACACTTATTAAATTGCTGGTGAGATATAACCTGGAATTACTGAATTCCAATTTCACTTTTTGAACATTTGATCTGTTACTTTTTAAGAATCGACAGACTTGGTAACTGCCTGATGCTAACCTGACATTAGATTGGCAACTCTCCATCCACTGATCATTCAGTCTACATAATATTAAGTCCTTTGTGCCTTTTGCTCTTCTCTAGGGGGGTTGTCCACTGACCTCCACTCTGTATAATCTGGGAGAACCAATCAGTGGAGATGGCAAAAGTAGTGTCAACGAAGTATTCACACAGCTAAAGAGAGTTTTCAGTGTGAGAGTGGTAGACGCCCTGGCTTTTCCTGGTGCTCATCCTTTCACAGATCAGGATCTGCTGTAAACTGTACCTGCTGTTCTGTGACTGCTGCACACGGCAACTCTGCTTCACCCAGAAAGGTCTAAAAAGGTTTATTTCTGTTATACATGTACATGTGTGTGAGTGTATGTGCATGTGAGTGTGGGTGCCCAAGATGGGCAGAGTGGGCATTGGATCACCTGACAATGGAGTTAAGGGTGGCTGTGAGCTTTGGGGTATAGTACTGGGAACCAAACTCCAGGCCTGCACAAGTTCAACAACCATTGTTTTTTTCTTTTGGTTTTTCAAGACAGGGTTTCTCTGTGGCTCTGGAGGCTGTCCTGGAACTAGCTCTTGTGGACCAGGCTGGTCTCGAACTCACAGAGTTCCACCTACCTCTGCCTCCCAAGTGCTGGGACTAAAGGCGTGCACCACCACCAAATGGCCAGCAACCATTTAAAAAATAATTTTTTTAATATACATTGGTGTTTCACCTGCATGTATGTCTGTATGAGGGGTGTTGGATCCCCTAGAACTACAGTTAAGTTGTAAGCTACCATGTGGGTGCTGGGAATTGCTGTGTTCTCTGGAAGAGCAGCCAGCAACCATTCTTAACAGCTCAGCCACCTCTCCAGCACCTTCCTTTAAAACTAGGGTTTTGTTTTGTGGTCCAAGCTTGTCTTGAGCTCATGGCAATCCTCCTGCCTCATCCTCCTGAGTACTAAGGAGTATAGGTATGTGACACTTAACCTGCTAGGGAGTAGGTTCTTGCCTTGTCCTGTTCCTTGCCTTCTCAGCAGCCAGAAGAGATGTCAGCTGTGGACATGCTCAGTACTCCATTGGCACCTAATCACTGTGGTAGCAACCTGGCTTTTCCTGTACAGACTTGTGTTTCAGAAAGTGTTGACTGTTCAGTGGTCATATGAAGAAACAGCACCTGAGTTCCAGGGGCAGCATCTGAGCCAGCTTGGATGGCAACTTCTCTTTTGGCCTCCTGTCTCAACTTCCCAAACATCCATTATTATAAACTTATGCCATCAATAGCAGCTTATTATCTTTTATTTTTTATCTTTTTGGTTTTTCAAGACAGAATTTCTTTGTATAATAGCTCTGTCTATCCTGAAACTCACATTGTAGACCAGGCTGGCCTTAAACTCACAGAGATCTGCCTGCCTCTGCTTTTGGAGTGCTGGGATTAAAGGCGTGCGCCACCACTACCCAGATCTTATTATCTTTTGTAAAAAACAGTTTCCTTGGCTGACCTTGAACTCTGTAGGCTAGGTTGACCTCATACTCACAGAGATCCATCTGCCTCTGACTCATGAATGCTGGTATGAAACGGCTTGGCCATCACCCTTGGCCAAAATTCCTTTTTTTTTTTTTAATTTATTAGCCAGGCAGCAGTGGCACATGCCTTTAATCCCTGTGCTTAAGGAGGCAGAAGCAGTTGGATGTCTGTGAGTTTGAGGCTAGCCTGATCTACAAATCAAGTTCCAGGGCAGCCAAAGCTGTTACACAAAGAAACCAAAAAAGGGGGGGGCGCTATTTTATGTGACAGGTGTTGTGGAATAGTATTTTAACTAGGCAAAGATGTGTTGCACTTGTTTCTGCTGCATTTGTTTAATTATGTAAAGATGTATTGCTGTTTCACTTTGCCTACATAAGGCACCTGACTGGTCTAATAAAGAACTCAATGGCCAATAGGTAGGCAGGAGAGGGATAGGCTGGGTTTCCAGGCAGAGAAAATAAATATGAGAAATCTAAGCTGGAAAGAAGAACAAGAGAGGGAGGGAACAAGAGAAACATCTAAGGCAAGAAGCCAGGCAGAGAAGCAGTGAAAGTAAGAGATGAAAGATAATAAGCCCCATGGCAAAAGTAGATAAAAAGAAATAGGTTAATTCAAGTTAAGAGAGCTAGCCAGAAACATACCTAAGCTAGGCCAAGCATTTTAAACTCGCAAGTCACTGTGTCATGATTTGGAAGCTGGTTGATGACCCTAAAGAAAAAGCCTGGTACAGAAGTGTGCTGTGGCCGGGCGTTGGTGGCCCACACCTTTAGTCCCAGCACTCGGGAGGCAGAGGCAGGCGGATCTCTGTGAGTTTGAGACCAGCCTGGTCTACAAGAGTTAGTTCCAGGACAGCCTCCAAAGCCACAGAGAAACCTTGTCTTGAAAAACAAACAAACAAAAAGGGTGCTTTGCCTGTTACGTGTGTCTAATGATCACATGTGTGCTTGGTGCCTGTGGAGGTCAGAAGGTGTAGGATCCCCTGAAACCAGAGTTTCACACGGTTGGTTCTAAGTCATCATGTCCGTGCTGGTGTTGGGAACTGGAACCAGCGACAAGTGCCGTGAACTGCTGAGCCAGGTCCCTACCCAGCCCCTCATTTTATCTGTCATCTGACTGTATGCTTAGGAAGTCTGCACAGATAGGTAAAAACTATTCCAAGGTACAGTGTATGTGTGTGACTACAGCACACGTTACTATGGTGTGTGGAGGTCAGGGGACAATGTTCAGAAGTCAGTTCAGGCATTCCACCTTGTTAAGACAGGGTTTCTCCTGTTCCATCGCTTGCTGCTTATTCCAGAACAGCTAGTCCTCGAACTTCTGGACAAATTCTGTCTTTACTTCCTTTCTTACATGAGGAGCCGAGGTGAGGGGTGCGGGGGTGTGTGTGTCTGTGCTGGGGGGATTACAGATGGAAAGCCACAGGAGAGTGAACTCATATCTTAAGGATGACATCGCAAGCGCATTGGTCCCAAATTGTGTTTACTTTTTCAATTTCTTGAAATTGATTACATGGGTTTGTGAACGCATTCATGAAGCGTTCTTGGAGCTGGCCGACAGAGTGCACCTGCGACGCGTTGCCCACCCTGGAATCCGCCGGGTCAGCGCTGTCCGTCGCTGGTTCACGCCTCCAGGATCCCCACTGAGAGGGATGTCCACACAAGAAAGAATCCCTGGAAGAGCAGCTCTGAAGCGGATTTGAGCAGTCATTGGTGAGCCTAAACTCTCGGCAGTGGCTCGGCCCACTCCACAGCCAGGAGGAAGTCCCGCCTCCTAGAACCGCCTACCTGGGAGGGAACCTCGCCCCCGCCGCGTAGATCGCTAATTGGCTGCCCCCGCCCTGCCCCCGGGGAAAGCGAGTCCGAGATTGTACATTCAGGTCGCGTTTCTTCCCTTCGGGGTCTCTGTGAGAGTATCCACCGCCGCCTGATAGATAGTCTGGCCCACCCGAGCTCAGTCATGTCGCCTAAGGCTGGAGTTGTCGCTATCCTGCTGCTTGTCCATGAAAGGGGAGGGGTAGATTTGTGCAATGTTTGACTCTTGATTGGCGAGAATTAGGAAAGGGACGGACCTAAAAGGTTATGATTGATGGGGCATGGCACAAATGCCTTAGCAGCAGTAGCCAATAGGGATGACGAGGGGGCGGGAGGCCAGGGTGTTGCAGATCCGTGAACAGGGCTGTGATGGCTCTGAGGCAGTCTGCCGGAAGCAGTAGGGCAGTAGGTTCGGACGGACAGGGGGAAGTGTCCAATGGCCACAGTGAGGAGGCGGGGAATAGCCAGCCTCCGCAACACTGTGTACGAAACGGCGGGGACGGGACTGACTTGACGGACAAGCGTATAGACCAACGGTGGTGGGAAAGAGGATGCAGGAGCCCAATAGTAGTGGCGAGTGGGCAGGGCGGGGCGACCAGGGGCTCGACGGCGCAGTGTGTGTGTGTGGGGAGACGTGGGGGCGGGGCGACCGTGACGGCCAGTCTGCCAGGCCAATGGCCCGGGGAGGGCCGGCGGAGGGTGGCCAATGGCGGCTGCGCATCCGGGGGCGGGGTTGCGGGGCTGCGCGGTGCTGTGCGGGAAGCGGCGGGCGGCGGCGGCAGCGGCTAGAAGGCTCAGGTGAAGCTGGCGACTGCTTGTCGGGTGCACTGGGGGCGGTGGCCAGCGGGCGAGAGCCTTAGCGTGGAGACCGCACGGCCGCTCACCAGCCTTCGCCCACAGGTCTGGCGGCGGCGCCGTGGGCCGCGGTGCGGCGGGCGGGAGGATGGGCACCCAGGGCAGCCCAGTGAAGAGCTACGATTACCTGCTCAAGTTCCTGCTGGTGGGCGACAGCGACGTGGGCAAGGGCGAGATCCTGGAGAGCCTTCAGGACGGCGCAGCCGAGTCCCCATACGCCTACAGTAACGGTAGGCCGGGTTTGGCGGTGGGCGCGCGGGGCGGAGCGGCCTGGCGCGGGCGCGGGCGGCCTCTGCGCGTGTCGCTGCGGTACCCTCCAGTCCTGCCCTGGAGAGCTGTCGGCGAGCGGGCGCGGGCCGGGGTGGCGGCGACCGTCTAGTAAGAGGACTCAGTGGCAGGTCTTTGGAGTCCCTTGGGGCTTGGAATGGGCCATGTAGCAGATACCGCACGGGGTACTCACCGCACTGCCCCTGAGCTCAGGGACACTGCACCTTGTGCCGGGAGAAAAAACGTCGGCCGCGATGTGATTCTTAACTTCCGGGTGCATGACAAAAAAATACACAAGGTAGATTGCATCACTGGCATTTGCCTGAGCCTGTCTCTTAATTTAGGTATTTAAGGTAAAATTGTAGTTAACAGAAGGTGGGGCTGGATCGCAGGCTCCTGAGTAGGCTGCTGACTCCGGAGGAATTAATGTCCAGTGGGCCTTTCCTTCTTATATCACTGGATTCATTTTACCTTCCTGCTCCCTTCCTGGGTCCCTTTTCTCTACCTCCTTACCTGGTTCTCTGGGGTCTTGTTAATCCTGTCTTGCTGTTCCGAGCACTGGAGGTTTTGAAAATAACAGCTAAGAGTGTGAGCAGTACATCTCCCGCTCTTTGGACTTAGGGCTTCAAGGGTGATGCCCATCAGGACCTTAGTGGAGGACCCTTCCTTCTGAGCAGTGTTTGCTTTTCTCTGTCCCTCCTCCCCAAGCCCCTGCTCTCATCATCAGTCTACAGTAGACATCTTCAAGTGCAGGAAAGGAAGGTCTGTGATTTTATTTTCTGGGGTACGTGAAGGGACCTCTGCACCAGCCAGGCCACCTTGGCTGGATTTGACTGGATGTCCCAGGGTGATAGTTCTGCTCAGATAGGCTTTGGGGTTGTTTTTCCATCAGGGAAGTCTGGAAAGGGATGGACTTGGCTTTGCAAGTGCTCAGTGTTAACTTGTGTTTTGGAGAGTCAGCTTGTGGCCCCTGTCCCAATCTGACCAGCTCCACCAGTTTCAACCACGCATGTACAGACAACCTCCAGTTGGACCATCTTTCCTCATCTCCTCTGTTAACTGTGTATTGCCATATTTCCTGTGACATGCTAACCGAAGTGGGGCCCATAGCACATAAAAAGTACAGAGGTGCGAGACTGCCTGTGGGCACCTTATCCCAGGGTGCCATTCACCAAATGCCTTTACCCTGCAGTCTGGAGCAGAGGGGGAAAGCGTGCCTCAGCTGTAGCAGCGTGTTTCTTGTGTCGGGTTGAAATGCATACAGCACAAGCATCAGGTCTTTGTGGTTGGAGCTTTGGGTCACTGATCTGGGGTGCGTTCTTTACTGAGTGAAGTTGGTGGATCTGAGAACACTTGGGCCTCATAGAAGAGACGTTTAGAAGCAATAAAATAGTTGGTTTTGAAGATTGAGCACAATGTGTTTGCTGTTTGAAAGAGCTGGACTTCTTTTAGAGGATAGGAGAATATTTCATTTTCCTCGTCATTACTAAAAATCTTCAGACTGGGTGGTAGTGGCACACACATTTAATCTCAGTCATTGGCAGGCAGCAGCAGAGGGATCTCTGGTTTCAAGGCCAGCCTGGTCTACAAAGTGAGTTCCAGGATAGCCAAGGCTACACAAAGAAACTCTGTCTCAAAAAACAAAAACAAAAAAAGCAAGAACCCCAAAAGCCAAACCAAACCAAACACCCCTTCAATTTGGGAGCTGGAGAGAGGGTTCAGCAGCACTCAATGGCAGCTCACAACTGTCTGCAGCTCCTAGGTATGACACCCTCACACAGATGTAGTTTAAGCTTTAGGTTTTTTTCAAGGTGTAGGATTCCTCTGATTATCTGCAGAGTGATCCCCACCTGGAAACGGGCCTGCTGCTCCACATTGGCCCCTGTCTTAATCACAGCTGGGTTATTTACCTGTCTTAGTCTTGTCTAGCTTGTTCCTCAGGTGTGAACATCAGCTCTCTCTGACTTCACAAACAAGTGAGTCATCAAAACAGCTTTTTTTTTTTTTTTTAATTAGCACTGGCACCTGAAACAGTGACAGTGTGCTACTGTGGCCACATGTTTAGCATCTGCAGGAGCCCCCAGGTCTGGTGATATAAATACTTGCATATAGATGGATGGATTTGCCTCTGGTTCTGATGTGTGGCCCTGGAATGATAGGCCCGTGTTGGCCTCAAGTCAACCAGCTGGGTATTCACCCTTGAGCCCAGGAAACATTATTGCTACAACACACAAGACTGTCCTTGTTCACGTTGTGGGTTTGAATATCCTCAGTTAAGACAATTACATCTTGCTCTAGCTCCGACAAAGATTGCTAAGTGTAAGGTCCTTCAGAAAAATCCATTGTGATTTATATGCTCATAGCATGAAAGATCCACATCTGTTAATGAGTCCATGGGTGTTGTTTAATTTCTCTGTTCCTTTGGGAGTTAGTGTTTATAGAAGAAAGCTGCAGAGTGATGCCGTTGTCCTTTGAGCCCAGGGAATTGGGAAGGAGGCAGATTACAGGACAAACTGGCATTGGGTTTTGCCATGAATGTTGGAATTTGATGGTTATGGATATGTCTGTGGAATCAGATGATGCATGCACCCTGAAAGAGTTAGGATAATGTGTGCCTATGTCATAGGTCCCTGCTAGAGTCAGTGACCCAGAGGCCAGCAACATTTATGTCAATCCTAGTTCCATGTTTCTTTTCATTTGGGTTGAAGTCCATTTCTCTAAGTGACAGGTTCAAGGGGAATTTTATTTTTATTTTATTTATTTATTTATTTTTGTTTTTTTGAGACAGGGTTTCTCTGTGGTTTTGGAGGCTGTCCTGGAACTCACTTGGTAGACCAGGCTTGGTCTCAAACTCACAGAGATCCTCCTGCCTCTGCCTCCTGAGTGCTGGGATTAAAGGCGTGCGCCACCAACGGCCTGTGCCCCTCTTGCTTTTTTAGTCATCTGTTTCTGAGACAGGGTCTTGGTATATACCTCAAGCTGGTCTTGCACTTGCTATCCTTCTGCCTCAGCCTCCCTAGTGCTAGAATTACAGACTCACTGTCCCTGACCTAAATGTGTATTTCTGAGTGAATGAACAGCCTGTGTACAGCTTCCCTATACTGACTATTACTTGGTGCTGGTCCACATGATCACATTGTAACCCCTCACAGTCCTTTCTCTTCTCTGTCCATGGCTGGACACTTTGGTCTAGATTTTATTGTCAATACTTTGGGGTAACTTATGGGGGGAGTGGCTGCCTTTCTTATGTTAGATGCCCAGGAGGAATAGGAACGGTCACTGTGGTGTAACAGCTAATGTCTCCAGTGTGTGGTTTGTGCCAAGCATGGTGCTGAGTGTGTTTCTCTCTGCTTGTCATTTAATCTTCACCAGAACCATGATTCCCATTTTACAGATGAGGCTCTGAGGAGCACAGACTGCTGTTGTCCTTGGGTGGTATGGTCACTGGGTTTCTGGTTGGCTCTTCTCTAGTCTTCATTGACAGAGAGGTGGCCATACCTCAAACAGTGGAGCAGTGGCACTTTGTGGCTTGCCTCTCTTTACCTTCATTGTTCCTGGGGTTGCTAGGTAGCCACTACTTCTTATTTGAGATTCACACCTTGGAAGACCTGTCCCAGATCCTACCTGACCCAGCAATCATCTGGGAAGCCACATAATCCTTATTGAGAGTTGTGACTTCTTGACATGCTATTATAATTTGTCACAGGCCCTGCAAGTGGTGACTTGCCTGTTCCATTCCCAGAAAAGCATAATGTCCTCCACCATGCCTGAGAATAGCCTAGGCCTTCTCATTGTGTTTGTGCACACCATCACTGGCGCTGGGCATTGGTTCATATTCTGCCCTAGGCATGTAGGTTACCTTCTGTTTCTTTGTTATAACCAGGCCCCTTTTTTTCACCTCTACCACAACCTTCATTCATTTGTTCAGTCATATATTTCTGAATGTCTTACAGTGGACCCGGCTGTAGGCCGGGAATTTTGGGTACAAGGCAGAGCAGATTAGAGACAGTTTGCTTTTATTGAATTTTTATTGTTTATCAGACAGGGTCTCTCTATGTAGCCTTGCCTGGCCTGGAACTCACTGTGTAGAACAGGCTGGCCTTGAACTTGAAGTGATCCTCCTACTTCTGTCTCTTGAGTGCTAAGATTATCACACCTTACTAAAATATTTAATTGTTTTTTTGTTGGTCCTTAGCATTATTATAAGCAGGACCAAATGACACAGCAAATGCTCAAATGCCAAGTACACAGCATAAGCCATCAACTTTCTGGTTATAGTGTGTGGTCACACTTGGGATTGTTACGTTGCATATATAATGCCATCTTTTCCATCAGTGTGATTGTTTGTGGCTTGGAAGTGATCTAAATTTAACATCGTTTCAGGAAGGAAACGGTATCAGTGAGTTAAGAAGTGGGAGGGAAGAACATGAAGGGAAGGAACTAGCCATTGGCAGGTCCTTTTGCCTCCTGTTTATTTTTTTTGAAGATTGAAACTGGAAAGGTATGAATTTGCTAGATCCCTGTGAAGCTGCCCTCACTCAGCCTGAAAGTAGGACACATTGAACAGGAAGCTGCGGAACTGTACATTGGCCAGAGCATTATCATCTCTGCTACCTAAGAATACAGGGAATAGTCTTCAGCATTTAGCATGCTGGTTGAGAGAAAGCTGAAGATGACAAGAAGGAAGGGAAGGTAGGTGGCCAGGCTGATTGTACAAGCTGGTGTTGGGGGCCAGCAGTGAGAAGGTGGTGGAGGCAGAGCATCCACGTGGAGAGGGGCTGGCTAGGCCAAGACCTGTGTCTAGGGGACTGTGCTATGGCAGGGGATTGATGGAAAACTAGGCCCTATGAGTCCTATAGCAATGAATAAGGTAAGCTCAGATTTTGAGCATTAGGGGTAGAGGAGGTATCCTAGTCATCCGGCCAGCCTGGTAATGACAGGTAACTCTCGTGTGCACC